CAATATGATTTAACTTGCGAATTCAAAACCTTGTGTGACAGCCTATCGAATGCTTTACTAAAGTCTAGATAGACTACATCAACGTTTTCTCTAGCTTCCATCGCCTTTGTCCAAGCATTCATACAATATAGAACTGAAGTTTCCACAGATCTACCTACACAAAAACCATGATGCGAAGAGGGAATGATACTGTGTTTCTCTAAATGTGAAATCAAATACTTTTTGATTACTTTCTCAAAAACTCTAGCAAAAATGGAAGTTAAACTAACAGGCCTATAATTGTTCGGATCCGAATAAGGCGATTTCTTAGGAAGCGGTACGACTATAGCGTGTTTCCATTTACAGGGAACTTCCCCGCGCATAAGACTCAAGTTGAAAAGAAACTCAAGGGGCCCGCTAATTTCATAGATGCAATTTTTTACAACTACAAATGGAATATCTTCACTATTGATCGCGGCCGTTGATGACCATTTCTCCAAAACATCGACAATAATGTTTTTATCAAACCAAGGCGCAGAGTCGTCCGAATCCACCATAGGAGAACCAATGTTATAAATTGAATCCGGAGTCAAGTGAAACGCATTTTCAAAAGTATCTGCTAGTACGTTCGCCTTATCATAATCCCTTATCGCCCGATGAGAGTTATCTTTCAAAAAAATACCAACATTCTGTTTCTCAGTGAGTCGTGCTCTCAGAAGAGAATACAACGCCTTCAAACCACCCTTGGTCAACTTTCTTTTCTCTACATATGCTTTATACTTAGCGAGCTTTGCAGTCCACTTCTTATTGAAAGACTGAAAAACTGCCCAATCAACTGACGACTGGGTGAAAACTGCCTTATTCCATAGTCTTTCCCTAGTTTTAACCATGGAAGTTAAGTAGCCAGGTAGAATAAGCTTCGAACTTTGTGGCATGAGCTGATACGGAATAAACATGTCCATAGCATGGTGGAGTATGCTCACGAACATATCGTATTTTTCATTTACTCCAGAGACAGTATTAAAAGAACCGAACCAGTCAATATTACTCAAGTAAGACCTCATAGCATTGAAATTGGCGTTCCTAAAATCTCTCCGCCAAGTGTATTTTTCCATTATCCCATCAGATGACATACAAAATTTTACAACACAGTGATCACTAGAACCTAGAGGTGGGCACTTGCGGACATCTCGAATAAGAGAGCGATCATTGCACAAAAGCAAATCCAACAGAGAGTTATGTCTAGTAGGAAAAGAGACTTTTTGGATCAAACCATGGGTTCTGAATAAACTCGCGAATTTCGCCATAATAGCATCACCTTGAGATTCTTGGGCATCGAAACTATGATTAATGTTAAAATCTCCAGCAACGATACAATTATAGTTACATGTACACAAATCACTGATGGCTTTAATAAGTTGGTCAGTCTTCCCAGAAGGACATGAGGGTGCCCTATAAACTGCTATCACTCTGAGTTGCAACGAGTATAACCATATATCACATGCCAACACTTCATAGGCATCCTTTACAGACTCAGAAAAAGTCACACTTGCGGGATGAGGGTCTCTCACTAGAATTGCAACACCACCCCCTTTCTTGTTACAACCTGTCACATCTGAGTACCATATAGCGTGTTGCTAAAACGTCCAGCAAAGGACCTGCATCGATTTTAGTATTGTAACCATGTCTCACTCAACACCACAAGGTCGAAAGTCTCTTTACACATGAATGCTACTAAGGAATCAGCATTTTTAACCAATGATCTAATATTAGACAAGAAAACAGTGCAGCAAAAGCTGCGAACACCGCAGAGCATTCAGAGGTTTTTCGAACCGGCATTAACAGAACCAACATCAGTACCAACAACAATATCAGAATTCTGAGTTTGTCCCGAATCATTCGCAACAACAACAGAAGTACTTGACTCACGAGATGATGACTTTTTGGCCAGACGTGCCTCTCGAATCTTCATCCTTTCCTCGAAAGATAATGATGGACGTAGATATACGCCCTTGGTTTGGAAAGAACGTAATCGTGGGGCACGCTTAACCGCTAACTGCTGGAACTTTGAGGTGGGCAAAACAACCTTGAGAAGACGGGGCCTGTCATTTATCGACCGGCCCATACGGTAGACAGAACAAGGAACACATTCTATATCTAAATGATTCAAAACACTATTAACACACTGGAAGTCATAATTAGCCCTATCAATAGCTGAACCAGAGTTCTGATTCCGATAGGCCAACAATTACAATTGATCGTCGTTTCTCAATATCACTCTCAGAAGAACTTGAGTGTGAATTCACAACAGAAACATTTTTTGCGGAATCATCAATCAAAGACTTATTGTTTACCATCTCATTTCTCAACTTGGCATTTTCGGACCTCAACTTATTATTATCCTCGACGAGATTGGCTATAAGTTTGCGCATAGCATCTAGTTGTTGCTTAGTGTCCAATAGTACACTGAGAATAATATTACATAAGGCGGAACTTCTGGACCCGAACATTCAGAGATGAGTTTCATCCATTCATCTTTATCTGGTGATGAAACCTCCACGTGACGCCTTTTCGTAGCTGGAACAGAGACAGATCGAGGAGTATCCATGACGGTATTCCCAATCGATTTTGACCGCCCAATCCCAACTGCTCAATGCTCCAACAGGGGCCGCAAGACTAGATACGAAAGCGAAACAAATGTATCGAAAGAATACACCTGATGTGGTGGCTCAGTATCCAACGTAATCTTCGATCCCGGCCACAAGGGATCTCGCCTATGCAACACAAATAAAACACGAGTACTTGATCAAGAGGCGCGACGCCAGTAACCGACGATCTGCCACAATACAGCTGAATAGGAGTAAATTGACAGCAGTAATGTAGGGTTGCTGTAGGAATGCTCCGAAGCCGAATAAACAGACAGAAATTACTGCAGAAATAACAGTTCGTAGACAGAAGTAGCGCTGATCAATAAAATGCGCGGGAGCAACAGACAACCCGACCGCTCGGTGGCAAGACTGGCAATCGAATGAAACTTAATGCTATAACGCTCATGAGATATTTTTTGGTTGTACTCTCCTTTTTAGGATCCCTGCTTCGTCTCGTGTCTCTACAGGTTATCCAGTATTCAGCTTCTGTATGATCTTTTAGCTGATGATAGGATTGAAAGGTGAGTGACTAATCGACTGGGCTCTCATTTTGACCCTTTTAAAAATAGTCTTTGCAGCAGTCAATCGTGTCTCAGCCTTTGTCTAAGTTCTCTTCGATCTATTCTTCAATTGGGGGTTGACGATATGGGGTGGAGCAGAGCTTCACCGTTTCTAGTCAGCAAGCTTGCAACTCTGGTCACTGGTCGACTGTGGAGTTGAATTGCTTCCCACCCTAATTTCTTTGTGTTGGTCGGCCTCCGAGACCAAGGAGTAATTACCTTTAGGTAGAGCAAAACGAGAGGATTCGAATGTCGTCTTCATTGCTTTAGGCATGATTGAACAACTTCTCAACAGCGACAGGTGCGACTCATTCTCTTGCACAAAATTGTTAAGATTTTCTGGTGTTGTTCATGCGTTGCACTGCTTTGAATTTCTTTATAATCGGTCTTTCAGCGAAACGATTCAAGATCTTGTTTTGTCTGAATTGCCTGCCCAATCATTGATTCGTCATTTGGAGAAATCTGACGAAAGAGTTGCCCTGGCGGCCCTGTCACATATGAACGCTTTTTATTTATTTATTTATTTATTTATTTATTTATTTATTTATTTATTTATTTATTTATTTATTTATTTATTTATTTATTTATTTATTTATGGACAATGAAAACTCACATGTAACACCAACATAACTAAAGTCAGTACGTGAAAACATCAACCAGGTGATACGAACCGCACCAATTCAAATGATCTCACCAATACTTTTCTTAAAGTTACATACTTCAAAAAGAACAAATTGGAGCGTAAAACACGATTGAAACAAGAACGCACTCTATTGCTAAAGAACTTCGACCTACACTGGATTCTAGCATGGGACGTTGTCAAGTCTAATCGATGCACCTCTTCTGCTGCACGGCAACACTTGGAAAAAGTCAGATGCGTCCAAGTTAACAAGACTCCTTAGAATTTTGAAAGTCATGAGCAAGTCATACCTTGATCTTCTCCATTCCAACGACTTCAAGCCATATTTATCATTCCTAAAATTGACGCCGCTTGGTATGGTCAAATAATTTAAACCCGTACATATAATCATAAGTTTTTGTGTGAAATTGTTCCGAACACTTTCAAGAGTTGTATATCCTTTTTCAAATGCGGAATAAATACCATAGTACCACACTCCACAATAGGCCTTACGTAAATTTTATATGCACGCAGCAAAGTACATGGGTCTTTCGTCCGTAAGGGCTTTTAAAAGATTAAAAGTCCTTCTGAGACCTTTTAGCCACCAGTGATTTGTAATGCGGTGAAACTCCAGTTCGGGGGGGCCACTCCATTTTTTCTCCAATACTCAAGATAAGGATTAGAGGGCTCACGACACGTAATCGACTCATTTAAAGTAGACTTCTGATAAATATTGGTGTAATGGGTGAGAAACCCTGAAACGTTTTCACATTTCCGCCTGCCATGACCCAAGGGAACGGTCCTGGACCAGGAGAAAGGACACCTCCGCAAAGGGCTAAGGGTGCAGGAGCTCCAGGGTGGATCACCTGTGCAGAAAAGTGGATGGGATGTGGGCAGGTAGTGTGGAATGTAGGACATCCACCGGTCCTTATCAAAAGTGCTTACTGATGTTTAACTTGTAGTATAGTGGAAACCCAAATCGCGAACTTCAGATACATGTTCCAAGGTAACGTTGTCCACTTTGTAAGCTGGTTCATGTCTGTGAACACCTATGCGCATGACCTGTGTTTTTTCAATGGATGAAGTAAGGCCATTTTCTCTGACCAACACTATCTGTTATAACATTGCCCGCATTATGCAGAAGTGCGTCATTTATTTCTTATTTCTCATATTTCTTTATAATCAGTCTTTCAGCGAAACGATTCAAGATCTTGTTTTGTCTGAAGTGCCTGCCCAATCACTGATTCGTCATTTGAGAGAAATCTGACGAAAGAGTTGCCCTGGCGGCCCTGTCACTTATGAACGCTTTGCACGAGAAGAGCGATGCGCCAAGTCGGGAGCAGATTGTGAAGGTGGGCCTTTTGACTTATGCTTCAGATTTGTTTTATGATCAGTATTAGAGTGCTTTAGTAGTTTTACTTGCCCAAAAGATTTTTCGCAAATGTGCACTCAAAATGAAGTCACTGGAAGCTTTCAGCAAGTGTAGATGACTTCGTCGTTCACTTTCCTTCGTGCTTAATAGAGAATAATTTGACCTGAGGTCGTTTGGTGAATGAGAGTTAGACTCATAAATCATAGCCCCATTTGTCGCTGCTAAGCGTGATTTGGTTTTGATCTTCGAAAGGCCACGAATTGGCCTAGTGGAGGTAGCGCATGGCTAAATGTGCTGCACTGCATCGGTCGTTCTATAAGTCTTATCTCACTCACGGTCAGGCCATCCAATCTCTATTTCTTCCGAGGCAGTTAGGTTTCTATCTGACTTCCTGACAGAAAAACAAAGGGAGCAAGTGTACCCATAAGGAGGGGTTAGTTATGTGGACTGAGCTTAAGACAAGAGGCTGAACGCCGGAAACTGAAAATTGCTCGAAGTGAACGCAGTTACGCACCGCTTCCCTACTCCTCCCTAAGGCTCACGTCTAGAGGGGGCCAGGAGTGGGCATTGATGGTCCCCCCCACCCATCACCCTTAAATTCGCCAGCAAAATCGTTTCTTGGCATGACGTTATCCCTGTAATTTCTATAGGGACCCTACACCCTATGAATTACACTAACTAGAAGCCAAGTATGCGGCATGTTCTGAAAGAGGTGGTCAATGTCGACCACTTTGCTATTGATTGTCTCAAGATGGGTACGTTTGAGGATTCTATTTAGCATTTTGCATCTGTACCGTTTCACACTGCAATCAGAGGAAGTGTGCTGCGAGAAGGTCGATCACGTGATGCAGCTCTTCTTAGTAAGCTTGCACCTCTACAGCGGTTACTCATCAAGGAACACACGAAATTCCTGGGGCACCCGTAATGGAAAGCGATGTGGAGGCCTTACTGGTAGGATATACTTTTGTTTTTTTTTGGTTAAAAAACTCATACGAAGTATAAAATCGTTTAGAGCCGTGACGTTGTTCGCTCGTCGGCCTGTGATGACGCGCAACTGGGCGAATGGAAAGGGCTGTTGCTTGCCACACCACTGGGTAAACTCGCTATTGATACGTTCACCAAGTACGCTGACCAACATTCTGAGGATCTGCGTATTGTGAGTGTTGCCAGTTTTATTGGGGTTTCTTAACGTTATTGACATACCTTTTTACAAGCATGAGACTAGCAATTATTGATTAGTAGGTCCACCGCGCGTCGAAAGCCCAGAGACCTATCTGCGTATTCTGTGACTCCTGTGCGTTAAGTCGATTAGGCTGGGATAGTTTTCGGCGTATATTCCGATATTGGCTTACTATTTTCTTTTATCCGGGCTTCGGAAATTCCTCACACAGAGACCAATTATGATTTTGTGGCAAAGAAAATAAAAGAGACAGAAAAGGAGAGCAGTACTCGTCAATTAATAAATGTAAATAAATAGATAAATTTTTATGCTGGGGCGCCTATATCCTTGGGAAGGGCGATGGAGCAGGAATATCGCTGTGCTTCGCTGCCCAGGAGTGGTCGAGGAGTTTTTTCGAAGTTATACAACCCTTTTCTTGCGCGGGTCGGTGGTGTGGGGATAGGTTCCCCATGAATTCTTAGACCAGTTTAACCTTCTGAGTGCTCCGCTTAAGGGATTTAGTTTCTAGGTGGGATTGGAGGAAGTGCTGGGTGTGTTTGGACGTTTTCATGCCCACTCTGAGGCACATCAGCCTCATCGATTTTGTGTGCTAGCCAGCACCAAGTGGACGGGATGAGTTCGGCGTGAGTACCAGGTGCGTCCCGGCAAGCAAGGTTGCGTAAGAGCGCGTTGCGGTTGTTTTAGACGTCGGGCCGAGCAATGGGCCTGTTCGGCGCCACCGCTGTTTGTATTTAGATCGGCGTTCCCCCTGCCATCCTTGCGACACAGATAGTCGCTGAATATATCGTGTATTTCCGTGATTGAAAATGAATCAAGGCGATAACTATACCAGGAAAGCTTCATGGAATGATTGTTTTGGCACCAAATCATATGTGTTAAGGCGGCATTATACTATCGGTTGGATACACTTGTCTTTACATTACAGTTTGGCGTTGACGTGAGCGACTGATTAGCAGGGCAACCGCTGAGTGTTGCACTCGTACGTGAAATTGGTTGCAGGACGTTCGCACTTTTTCAAAAATTTCGCGACCCCCTCCTTTAGGGGGTCTCGATGCGACCCCCCCACCACCATGAGACTCAGGAGGCTCCCCAATACGACCACCCTTCTCCTACCCCGACCACCACCCTCGCCATCATGGCTGCTTCTATAGTATTGATTCTGAGACCAGTCGACAGAGCACTTTTTCCTCCAAAACGGCCGAGGGGGGGGGTATATTAGTGCAATGAAATTTTCACCTAACCAATCTAAATCACCCCTCACTCAACAAATGACTATCCAATTACTATTCCATTCATCCTCTAAATGCGACCCCACCCTTCCCAAAACCACAAATGCAACCCCCTCGTTTGAATAGTGCGAACACACGGTTGACTCTGATTGTTAGTGGCCAGACAAGGCTGGCGCTGGGTTCGCTAGAAAATCATCAGTGGTCCATACATTTGTTTATAGCGACGGTACTGACTTTACGATTGAGTGATAGTTGCTTGTCATTGTATTGCCATAAGATCATTTCTACAAGCACGAGAGAGTTTGGGCTCATGGCGCGCTGACTGCAGTAGCACAGGACTTGATATTCAGCGGAATCACACGGATTTTCCGTCGTTTATTCGTTAGAACACGGTGTCTACACATGTAACGTGAATAAATCAAAGCGTTGATGAAGCAGTTGAAAATGTCATTCTTCCTTATTTGTCGGTCATTCAGCTTGTTTTTTTCGCCTCACCCTCTGTTGTTTGTGGTTTTTCTGTGGCTTCTTTATTTTCAAACTTAACATTTATGCGGCAGATTCCTGTAAAAACTGAATTGAGTTAAGAGAATTAAGGGCTCTTCAAAAAAGTGGGAGAAACCGTGGTAACCATCAGGATAGAGCACAGTGGCAGGAATAGCTATCGGTCAGGCTTTAGTGGGTGTTCACCAAAATGCAGCCAGCCTCGAACTTGGACTGTATGGGCTTACCTTCATGCTTTGCGTCCCTAGTCCACATGTCCTTAACCGTCTTGCCTTGGGTTGAGTTCATATAATAAACAGCGAAATAATGCTTCTGTAGATGCGGGATTCAATTATACTGATCAGAGCTTTCAGAAAGGATTAGAATAAGAATTAGTTCATGATGTCCGACGCAAATGATGCGAGTGATATCTTGTTACCTGGAACCATACTCGAATCCGTGCCGTATCATTAGCCTTGATGAGACCAAGCGGCGGTTGGACCCGAAAGAAATCCGCGGAGGTACATTTCACCTGGAATCCCCTGGTATTTCCATTCTTTAATTCCTAGCTTCTGACACAATTGTACAGATCGAAAAGTTCCTGGCCGCAAACCTTTTTGGAAGTATTCTTTCATTAATCAATTTTTCTGGAAATCATAAATACGTCTTGGACAGTTTGTCGTTCCCCCCCCTCCCCTGCACAGAACTGTAGTAGATGGAAAGTGAAGAAAATTCGAGTACCTCTCCCACTTCGGCCTACGACTGGAAATTTTTCGTGTGGGAGGTCTAAAGGCGGTCAAGGGGGTAGTACTTGGACAGGGCTGGATTGGGCTGTGGAGTACTCAAGTGAATACTAGCCGAGCGTACTTCTCCAGCCTAACCTGAATTGTCTTGTCGTGTGAGGCCGTAGTTGAGTTGATGATCGTTGCTGTTTTGCGATTGTGATTGGGTCGGCTGGTCATATGTCAGATGCTCTAAATCCCCAGGCTCGCTCCGCGCGATTATTAGGTGTTGGGCTATCTCCGGCACTTTTTAAGGGAAGCAATTGAAATAACATAAGATGGGAGGAGGCACACGGTCACTATTTCAAGTCTCAGTTCCCGTCTTTTTAGGGGTAAGGAGTCGACAAGGTGACTGAGCGCAAGACTTTGATCTCCAAGCTAGATTGTTTTCGAAATATTATTGGCTAAGTAATCGGGCGGGGAGTTTTTTGATCAAGCGAATGTTCTGCAATCATAAGCTAACTAGTGCGTTGTATGGAGTAGAAGGAATGTTTAGGTGCATCGAAGTGCAATGGTAAGGAAGTATTTAAATACCAGTTTAGCTCCGCACACTACCGCGTGCATGACACGGAAAAGCTCCGTAAAGCTGACCAACCGGCGGAGCGTTAGGTTCCGCCGCTGACCAACAACTTGATTCGTGAAATGCGTTAGCTGGCCTTCCATAGAACGCCCATTCTTAAGCCAAATCGTCAATACGCGCGGTGGATTGCGGAGCTAAAGTGTTGTCTGTAAACAACCACCATTTATTGGATATCAGGATGATTTAGCGGTCGAATAATATTGATGCCAATGATTTTGCAATAGAAATACCCATTATCGTATATCGCTAAACATCCATCATACATTCTTAGGGACTTTGGGATTGTAGCGGTCGAACGGTATTTTATGTTGATGACAACAACGCAATGAGATGATACTGAAGTGAAATGCGTTATCTAGAATATGGTTTTAAATGGTCTCTATGTTCCTACGAATAGCGCAATTATCGGCCCTTATCGGCCCTTATCACTTCCTGTACCCCACCGAACATGTTCCCGTCCCACCCTGTACATCACTTCTTGGAACCAACGCCCCACTGCTGCTGGGACGCGCGCTATGAATTTCGTGAAATTTGCGTTTCAGCGCCTCTTATCAGATCTTATCAGTCGGTATCACTTTCCAAACCCCACCAAATATGTTGCCGTCCCACCCCCTACACCATACTCAAAACACAGCGCTCCATGCCTGCGGAGAAGCGCGCTATGAATTTCGTGAAATATACGTTTCAGCGCCTCTTATCAACCCTTATCGCCCCTTATCACTTCCTGTACCCACCGAACATGTTCCCGTCCCACCCTGTACATCACTTCTTGGAACCAACGCCCCACCACTGCTGGGACACGCGCTATGAATTTCGTGAAATTTGCGTTTGGCGCCTCTTATCAGATCTTATCAGTCGGTATCACTTTATAAACCCCACCAAATATGTTGCCGTCCCACCCCCTACACCATACTCAAAATACAGCGTTCCATGCCTGCAGCGAAGCGCGCTATGAATTTCGTGACAGACGGACGTACGTACAGACAACACACACACACAGACAGACATACTTAGCGAATTATATATAGTAGGATATTCGTTTGAAGTGTGGAAGGATTCCTGCAAGATTCGACTGGAGAGTTGAGTTAGCCCAAAGTGTGACTTATGTTTGTTTTACTTATTTGTAGATAGGGTTTTTATCCTCTGAATCTGAAATCATGTGGCATGGCTGACAGACCTTAAATGTCTTCTGGTCGTTGCTAGGATTTTGTATTTTAATCTCACTCCATACTGGTTTCCTCTCGGGTGTCACTTTGAAAACCACAATTCGTTGTTTCTCTTTGGGATCACTGAAATGTACTCTCTAATGCACTGAAGGCTGCTTCCAGAACTGACGCTTATGATTCTTATCGGAGATTTTTGATAGCACTCAGCAACTGCCTGGTAGGAGTGCGGTTGGAGGTAACCTCACTTGGCGCAAAACTTGTATGGAGGGGCACCTTGGTGCGGTGGGTCGTTGATTAAGGTAGCCTTCACTTCAGGTCTGAGCATGGTGGAAGGGACTCCACGGTGCATTGCAGATTTTCGTTTTCCATGGAGTTCTTCGCTCATCTTGGACTTACTGCCTACCACCTGCAAAATCAATGCGTTCCAATCAACTAGTTCTGCACCTCGTTCCTTTCGGAGCAGGACTTTTCCTGCTGGTGGTCGCTACATGGGGGTATAAGTAATCGCCTTGATTGGTTGCGTTTAGGCGCTTCATCGCACATTCACGTAAGGGATTTGGGAGGTTTCCATTGATTAGTCTGACTCCGCCTAGATGCATTCGAGGAACTGGAGTACCAATCAACAATTATTTAACTTTTTTCGCGGATTCTAGAAATTCTGGACATGACCGAGCCCTTCCACGAAGTCGCCGTTCTTTATATGTATGTGGCTGAACACACAATGAATACATTAGAAGCTCCTTGCTGATTAAGACTTTCGCCGGTTTTTTTTTGCTGGCCCGAAAATTAGAACCTCCAAGTTCCACCCTTCAAACATGTTCCGCACGAACCCGTCATCCCCGGGAAAGTTGTTGGACCTATGGTGGGCAAAAGGGGGAAACGACGGAAGCAAACAGGTTGCTAAATAGTCATCGATTATCTATGAATGGTTCAGTGCTAAATTTTAGGATATTCATTTGACGGTTCGGGAGTTTCATATACTGAAAGACTTGCAGTCCGCATTCAGGGAGGGCTGGAGGGGGCTTGTTGAGGTTCCGCCTATGATGCTGATCCGAATAGTACAAAGTGGTATGCTAACTCAGGTTCTAGTCATGCATGTCATGCGGGCCACCCTACGTCTGTGGAAAACTGGCCAATAAGAGCTAATCAGGAGGTTCGAGAGCCGAGCTCTGAAGTTCATACCTCGAGCTGGCCCTCAAGTTTGCTATCGCCATAGCTCAAAAAACATACGGGTTTTTGTTGAGCACGGCGGGGCTTTGATCAGCTTTCGCAGGTTCGTTTTCGGTGCCCTTCACAGGTGGGGTTGTTGCCTTTCCATCATCCGGTGCTGTCCCTTTTGGTTTCTCATCTGATTCCTTCGGCTGAGCCATCACAGATTTTTCCTTCTCTTTAGGTCCTTTTGCCGCATCGGCCTTGTCGGCTCCGCCTTCATCACCCTCACCCATCCAACCCGGCTGAAATAGCTAGACTTAGATCAGACAGTCAGTGGAACAATCAGAAGTGCGATCCTTACCGGTTCTAGCTCGAGAAGTGAAATGAAAGTAGCTGTTTATGAGTTCCTTTTTATAGTTGTTTTCTTGAAGCACTGATCGGTTTGGAGGTGGAGCTTTCTCTTCGAAAACAAGTAGATGCGACTTATAGTCTCATTGCACAATTGCGCAGGGTGGGCGGTGGGGTTCGTAATAAGAAGCGATGCTGTGGGAGTCCGTGTTGAGTGAAATCAAAAGAGCGTAGAATATGTCATGATAGTAGAGTCCTTGCTGTCAAGTTTGGGTATTGTACGAGCCTGTGGCAAAGAAGCTGGATGCTGCAGAGAGGGCTGACACCGATGAAACGAGGAGAGCACGGGAACGCCTGAGATGCAGATGATCCAATTTTCTGAGTCGAATCACTGGTATTCTTATCGGCGTGAAACTTTACAGCATGAAACTGTAAGAGTTGGTGCGACTGGTGTTTCGAAACGGCCCAGTCTTTCTTGCGCAACGGATGTATAGTCAGTAATCGTCGAGACGGACGGTGTCAAAATCGGTCAGAAGGTATAATAAAGGTTATTGTCGTTGAACGGCTCTGCTAGTGTTCGGCATGTTCCCTTGGTTATTAAATTTTTTATTAGCTGTGCATGGTTCAATTCTTCAGTGTGAGCTATGAGACCCAGTGAGGTCCTTTAGGGTATGGCAAACCGGTTACCGTGAGGAGTAAAAGTGAAAACGCTGAATGGTCCCGTAGCGCAGAAAAATAAACGGCTCCGCAACGCAAAACAGATATTTTCGCTGCGATGTCATTGAGCAGATGCACTGCTTTTTTCCTCTATTCTGAAAGCGCAGAGTCGCCACGACTAGAGTCCATCAGCCACAGAAGGTCGGATGAGGCAAGAAGGGGACCAGTGGGTGCGTAAAGCCTAACACGTCACTACGGGCGCATGCTTTTCCACGAAGGCTATCGTTCGTCTCAGAGGCATAATCTCGCTTCATAGTAGGCACCACCCTTCCTTCGACATCCAATTTATTGTATCACCTGCCCTTGATTTAGCTTGTAGTTCACCATAATATTTTCAGTTGGTTTCCGAGAATTCCATGCGTGTCACTGGAGCTGCATGGGAGCTTGGTACAGTTTGGACTTCATTTCGATTGTGGCTGGACTAGTCGGAATTGTACCAAGTGGTTAGTTCTCTACTCCTTTAATTGTTGCTTACATACCAAAAGTAGTTGTGAATTACGAAATAGCTGCATAGAGCTCGATGTGTTTGTAGCCCGTTAAGCCCAAATTGATACGAAATTGTTCTGGGCTTACCATCTATCTATATCAGATGACCTTTTTAATATATGAGGATCAATTCTCTAGTTACCTTGTTATTTCTTCAGGCAATGGTCGTAGTTTAGCTCACAATAGCTCCCATGCCTACCACACTGCAGCTGGCATCAAACACGATGACCTGGTTCCGAAATATCGGACAAGCACACAGTGAAAGTGTTGTTCAAGAAGGGTAGCTATACTGACTTGAACAATTTTCAATGTACCTCTGACATAAAGAGTAATCAGAGTTATCATAAAAGTCATCCTGAATCGCATAGAAAAGAATTTGGAAAAGACAGAGAGCCCAAGCCACGTTGAATGAGTCCAAAATTCTCTGCTGCCCTCTTACAGATGGTTCTAGTTCTATACATTGGGAACGTGCGGACTACATCGGCAGGCTAACGTCCAGTCTGAGCAAACAGATGACGTTACGCTGTTGGTTTCGTCGCGTTCCGTGTTCGAAGACAAGCTGCAACTTCTGACGAATTCTCTGCTAAAGTCGGTTTTCTGCTTAACCCTGAAGCTCAGCGATATTAAAGTGCAGTAAAACATCCAGGCACTCAGTCTGTTTCGATGGGAAGACCTTCAACTTCGCTGATCGCACCCTTCACCCTGGCTGTCACCTCTGTTCCCTCTGACTTAACCGACCAGCTGAAATTGCGGATCGAATTCACCACCTGGAATGCCTTCAAAAAGCTTGGGTTATTCTTTACAACCGGGCTGTCCCCCTCCCACTCAAGAAACGAACATTAGACTCCCGTGTCACGCTGTCAGTCTTTATGGAGTGATGACCTGGTTGCTGCGAATGCCGGACACGGCAAAGTTGGCCATGATACAACGGAAGATGGAAAGAAAAATGCTAAGGTTAGTTCCACGTGCGGCTTTGGATGAACCTCGGCACTATGCCGCTGGTTAATCTCTTCTTACTCTTCACGAGGTTGATAAATGACCTTTATTAGGCTACGTTTCGGCGGGGATCGCCTTCTTCAGAGCCTGAAAGTCGAAACAATTTATGACTACCCGACCAAATGTCTTAGCAGCCCTACTGAAGTTCGAGACCAAAACAACTCATCACGCAATCCAAAGGTGGGCCACCTACCGTAATACAGTCCAGTTGTCGAGACCACCAGAACAGCAGTGAGGCGATCGGACTGTTTGTGATTCAAAGTCACAGGTGGAAGGCCACCCTCATATAGGGCCTCATTTCCCGCGTTATTCGCGCTAAGGATGGCAGTGCTGGACCAGTGGAGTAGTGGAAGAACAAGGTTACTTATGAAGCTCATTGTCTGGGGAAAGAAAGCGAGTGCGAAGAAGGAACTATGGGCCAAAAGCCTGAGATGGGCGAAAGCGAAAGGGCCCGCAGGATAACGACATGGATTCCATACGATTATGTGAACCAATAAAGACGAGGACATCCTTACCCGCTATCGATGGTGCGACGACCTGAGCAGAACTGGTGGAGTATGGCAAATGAAGAATTCGGACAAGGTATGATACGCCAGTGAATCTGAAGTGACCCCTCAATAGTAATAACAGACCTATCGTTCGTAGCTCAAAGAATTAAGCACTCGGTGTTCTTCCTCTTTGATATGCATTTGGAAGCACTTCAGAGGCACTGCCATCTTGGGACGTGCATATCACTTACACTGAGAATCGTGATGGCATCTTATTGCGGTTGAGCTCACACATATGCATACTGACTGGCAAGTACCAACCGAATACAAGCCTTGTACAGTGATTTCACACTGCCAGTTAAGCCTGATATAATATCAGTGGACTTGGCCAGAATGATGCACTTACGGACGTGATTTGAGTCAAGATTCAACCCTCACACTATTTATATATGGTGCCTTTTGTCACTATCCCCCTTTCCTCACCATGGGCAAGGGCAACAGATTCGAAGGAAGCACACGAAAATTAACGGCAGGAGAGGAGAATCTGCTCGCCATCCATTATTCCTTCTTTGGGGTGTGCCACCTGGTCGACCTTATTCAGCGGTCGAATGTTTGAATGCATATAGTGTCGTTCAGCGCATTCTGTTGGCCAAATTTAATTGCAATTGAAAAAGTCACAGTTGTGATCTCATATGCCTTGTTGAGACCAGAATGGCGCTGTGTGTGTCGCACAACCGCGACCGCACATTTGCCGTTAACACATTGACGACAACGCGAGTTTTGGCTTTTTTGGCCACGTGGGACCGCGGCGATTTTGCGGGCGCGCTCGCCTCAGGTCGTTCAAGCAGATTTTGAGTGATAAATACATAAATAATGATCAATACAAAACCAATCAGTAAATTGTAATGAGCACAACCTACCAGGGGTACAGTAGTGGAATTTCGATCGAAAGACATGGAATAACAATGAAAAAGCGAAATTGTCAGAACTAGCTGCAATGGACCTCAAAAGCAATTTTACGTTGATTATTCCAATCAAAACACATATTGTCATCCCTAAGGTTCCTTATCTACTTCTACTACTATTTAAATCTTCACATTCATAAAAAGAAAAAGTAAACGAAAAATTTATTGAAATGAAGATTTCGTATGGTTCAGAAATCCTCCTCTAAATTAAAGCATACGTGACCATTCTAAGGGCCACTATGTTTGTAGCTACGTCAAGGTCTCTTCCATGGAATGAATACAAGAAACTTCTAAAAGAATCAGGCGTGCGCGAAAAAAATGAGTGTAATGGGTGCGGGGGATATATATCCCGCACGGTCCGACATGGCCTGCAATGCGCGGGATATATATCCCCCGCGTTGTCGTCAATGTGTTAAGACGCTTCTCCGCACCAGAGCAGAGTGTCAATCAGTGGATCGAGGGAGATCATTTGAAAGAACCCTCAGATCTACTGTTACATATGATATCAGGTTATACATGTGATATATTAGTTTTGTTATAGAAGAGGATTGCGTGGAGAAGCTGATCGAGTTGCTATTTCGTTGTGATTCGGCGTTTGACGCGCTCTTCGCTGTGACCGTCCAACTTTTCCATCGTACTTGGCGTGAAATGCATGCGTCACACGATGAACACGATAAGGTAGCTTGAGTGGGACGTGAACAAATTACTTCAACTACTTGGATTCTACTTTTTGGAGATTTTGTTTATTAGAGATTCTACGATTCCTCAACTAGCAACCTTTTAGCGGTGCTTCCTTTAGGTGGCTGATGTTGTCCAAGAGCAGTTGCGTCGCGCGGCCAATAATCGGCCCGTGACTCTGTCGATGTACGAGGACTTGCTGTCGTCGCTGCCTTATTGGAAAATGAAGGAGCTATGGAAGCAGGAACTGACAGAGCAGGAGAATAAGCAGCTGAACAGCGAAGTGGTTGGGTGAGCCTTCTTTCTCATTAAAGGTAAGGTCTGGGCTCAGCTTCAGTAGTCGCTCCCGTGGATGATCAAATCTCACAAAAACTATCACGGTTCGCCCACCTTTCGACATCTTGTCTGCGTCGCAGTGCTGATCCGCTATGCTCTCTCAACTCAAACTTCTTTGCACTCTCCGCGAATTACATTATCTCTCATCTCCCTACCTGTCTCTCCGAGGCGCAGATCAATAAGGCTCGTATCTTCTGTGTTTTTGACGATTTTTTCTTTTTCTCCACCTGCGGTCCCCTTCGCGTCCCTCCTGTCATACTTGAGTGGTATTACCTCATCGATTTCTTGTCTATGAACCCGAGTGGTGGGATGCGCCACATGGGCGACCTCTGTCTACAGATTGGGGTTCCCTATGAAACTTCATGTACTGGGAAGTCCATGAATTCCTGAGATTCTTGAACCACTTCAAGATGCTGACGAAATTACGTGGTTTATCACAGCTGTAGTTGTCTGTTGGCTGACTGATTGTTTCCACGATACCTTCTCAATGCTATTCGAACATAAATCTTGCAAAGGGAAATGTGGGGACAGAATTTCTTCTCCCAAATCAGATGTCTCATTGGACATGCTCATTGGAACCAAAATGTTATTTTGGGTGATGATGTTATGTAGATGAAAAAAGTGCAAGAACTCTCCTCCCTGTACCTCCACAGACCAGGAACGGCGTTGGCACCACGAGAGCGCAGTAGGATCCCCTCTCTCTAGTTGGCTAACTCTACCCATGCCATCCTTCTATCAGCATACAATGTCCTCTTTCTTCACGGCTTTCCCGATCTTGAAGAGGGAAACAAGAGGTCCTGAATGTGAAAAGGGAATTAGGCAGGCCCGGAAGCCCCCAGAACCGTAACTCTCACGGGAGCGGATCCACTCACTGCTCAATTGATAGAAAAAGGTTACGCATAACAGTGGTTGGTGTTTATATCATTGATTGAATTGAGTGGTCACCTTAATGATTGGTTAATTTTTATGCCTTTCACTATACATGAATTTGATGACACAATTTTCAGCGAGTTGCGCAATATGCTGAAACCATCAATCGAACAGCTGATTCGCACGAACAGGAAGAATGTGCTAAAACAAGGGTTCACTTTCCGACGTCAAGTTAAAGGGAAGACTCCGCACAAGGGCGAAGGTACACACAGCCGTTTTCTTTCTATGTGTAGTGTCGCTATGTGTTGCCATAGAATTATGATCCCTGGAAGCCTCCAAAAAATCCGCTTTTCGTCCGCCCATGGTACGCGGAGGAGTCTTGTGCACGTAGACTGCCAAAATGATTGGACTAGTGGAACATTTCTCAGCTTTTCGCAGAGATACTTTTCCTTTATGTTAAAGAGGGTCGAATCATATCGCTAACGGCTAGTTGAGAGCTGACTCCGCTTATCCTTTTTGTCTAAGGGCTTCGAACATTCATCTCTGCTGTACCCTCCGCGTCCGTGGAAGGCTAGTTGCTTGGAAATGAGGTCATAGTCTTTCACGGTTGGCGTCCGCGTATTCCAGTTGATATTTTGTTTTCGAAATTCTGGAGAGAATTACGGTACTTTTGAAGCTTCTTCTTTTTAGACCAATACTGCTTCTGGAAGTTGGACGCATCAGATGTGCTTTGTTTGACCGACACTGATGTAGATTCGTATGTGGAGGGTGTGTCACACGCAGGAAATGTTAGAAAAGGTATTGAAAGCTTTCTGGAATTCTTTTTTCGAATCACTGATCACTTCTGCTCAGTAGGTAGTTTGTAGTGATTGCAGCTTGCTCCAGTTCTGACTAAACTTTAGTGCATAGCTTACTCTCTGAGTAATGGATAGGAAAAATAATCAACGCCGATTTATCCTTCATTTGATTGAATCAGCTGTATCTTTTTCGCTGAAGGTTGAGGGTAAG